AAGACGTATTTTAAAATTAAAGCAGAAAAAAACTATAATATTTATTAACATAATTCCTTTTGGAGATGATTCAGTAAGTCTTGAAGTACATAATAAAAATTTTTAATAGCGATTTTAACTTCATTGGTGTCCTGTAGATGGCTTGTAGTAAAAAGTGCGCTTTTGGTGGTAAGACACCTTATAGGTTATGTTATAGGTGACACTTTGTGGGTCACCTATAACAGATATTCAAAAAATTCAAAATAGGTTGTATTTGTGAGACTCAAAACTAGATGATAAACCTTTAAAATCTGCAAATTGTATTATTTTGAAGAGTTTATACGAATTTTTTCAAAAAAGTCGAAAAATCACTATATTTTTCGGTGGATTTACCCATATATAATAAAAAGGGGGGTGGTTTTTCAATATTTTAAAGGTTTATCATCTAGTATTTTGTATATACATTCGAAAAATTTTTGGTTTTTTAAAATCGGTTAAAAAGGTTCGGAGAAAAGTGTCTGGCCAGTTTGAAAATGTTACTTTTGAGAAAAAAGCATTTAAAGTTTTTTTTACATAATTTTCGTGAATAAAAGGCTGATAACTTTGTACTCACGTTTAATCGGCCATTCCTGGTGAATAATGAGGACCGTCTTCATCCAACAGTTGTTGTAAATGGCTTTGTAAAGCTGTAAATTTCAATACAACGTCGCGATGTTTTATAATTAATTCATTTGTTTGACTGGAGTCTCACTCTTAATTCACGCCGCGATGCTTCCAGTGTAAGTGTAAAAACGGAACACACCTAGATCGCATGTCAATTCAACGAAAACGTACTTATTTATAAATGTAGATATGAAAATATTTTATAACTAAAAAAATGGTTATGTTTTATTGCCAAAACGGCTTGAAAAAAAAGTTGATTTCTAAAATTAAAAATAAAAAGGAATTTTAAAAATAAAATAATTATATTACACTCTTTTTAATTTGAAATTATAAACAATATTTGGATTAATAAATGTATTTAAGTATAAATTTTATAACTCAAATAATACCTAATGAACACAAACAAAATTGATGTTAATAAAACATTATTTATTATCTGCACAAAACCGGACTTTTAGGAAAAATCGGTAGACGGGGCAACACTGTCGGCGTGCCATATACGCTACTACAAACCGCTGAGGAGAAGTAATCCAGTGGAACAAATAAATTAGTTATTTTGTATCGCATTGCGAAGTTATAAAGAAATTTACACTGGTTAGTTGCAACGCAGAGAATCTTAGTATTTGTAAAAAATCCTATGTTCCGGATTTAAAATTCCAAATGTGTATAGTAACTGCCAAACGTTATACAGATATACATACTATATAAAAATGAATCACTAATACATACCCAACGTATATGCAACATATATACAAAAGCAAGAACAGCTGGAGCCTCGCGCTCGCCGCGCGGAGAGAAACCGGTTTTCATACGTGCGTAGATGACGTTAATAAAATAACTATAACTTATATTCTAGTGGGAATTTCTTTTTAAAATTTTAGGAGGGAGTTTTTGAATGTAAATGGAAGCGATTTATAAAAAAAAATAAAATTGATTTTTTGAAAGTTTCGCATGAGACTGTCCCCTTAAACAGAGGAATATTAAAAATCTTAAAAGCTTTGAGATGTGGTGCTACCGCCGTATACTAAAAATAAATTGGGTGGATAAAATTACAAATGAAGAGATAATACGCAGAATAAATAACGATCCAGAAGTTATCATGAATATAAAAAAGAGAAAACTTGAATACTTAAGCCACCTGATGAGAGGACAAAAGTACACATTCCTACAAAATATAATGCAAGGAAAAATCCAAGATGGATCCAATTGGATGAGAAATTTAAGAGAGTGGTTTGGCTGTACCACTAACGAATTATTCAAAACAGCAGTAAATACAATTAGAATCGCCATAATAATATCCAATCTCCGATAGGAGAGGCACTCAAAGAAGAAGATCATCATTTTTAAAATGATCTACCCCAAATTTTACCCTTTTATTATATGAAGATGGGGGATAAAGTTCCAGTTGATTCCAGTTTACTCCAATTAGCCTCTTCTACTCAAATCCGACTCTCACCTTCACGATGGTGTCCCCTGTTAACCGAGCAACCCAGCTGAAGATCCGGTATCCAACCCCGGGTGGAAAGTTGGGTCGGGAACTGACGAGAGCGGGTGAAATGGCCCTCCCAAAAGGGGGTTTGGCTTTGGGTTAACTACCCAACCCTGTAAAAACCCATAGTTACGTTAAAGTTAAAAATGCTGGACGGAAATCTCGACGACGACCTATGCAACGAAATAAGGACAACGATCTTAAAGTATTTACCTGGAATGTTCGCACACTCAACGAACCTGGAAACATCCGCAAACTGTGTGACATATTAGCACAATATAACGCTGATATTACTGCAATGCAAGAAGTAAGATGGATAGGCCATGGCATAATCGAAAAAACAAACTACAATATATACTACAGTTGCCATAGAACTAGACATGAATTTGATTAGACAGCCTTTATAGTCAGTAATAAAGTCAAGCACTTGGTTATAGATTTTAAGCCCATGAATCCACGAATGAGCTGCTTAAGGATCAGGGGTAAGTTTTTTAATATTAGTCTTATTAATGTACATGCCCCAACAGAGGACAAGGAAGACGAAGAAAAGGACAATTTCTATGAGGAATTAGAAAGAACATATGACAGTTAGACAAGGATAGAAGTACCAAAACAACGCGTCTCAATATTGAACTCCTCAAAAATCCGCAAACAGTAGAAAGGTTTCAAAACTATATCGAAACTAAACACATAATTCATGAGGACCTAACAATTAGTGAACAATGGGAAATGTGTAAAAATAATATTAAAGAGGCAGCAAATAATATTCTAGGGCCACAAAGACCACCACCACGTAATGACTGGTTTGATGCTGAGTGTGAGGACATTACAAGAAGAAAGAACGATGCATATAAACTGATGCAGCAAAGAAGAACTCGAGAAAAACAGCAAAAATATAAAGATCTCAGAAAAGAAGAGAAGTGCATTCATAGAAGGAAAAAGCGAACTCACGAAAATAGAATATTGGAAGAACTTGAGGTATTAAAAAAGGAAAACCAAACAAGAAAATTCTACAAAACTCTGAATCACGCAAGAAAGGAATTCAAACCAAAGCTCAGACTTTGTAAGGATAAGGAGGGGCATATACTAAATACAAAAGAAGAAGTACTGAAAAGGTGGGTGGAACACTTTAAAGAACTACTTACATAGAAATAGAAGATCCAGATCCAAATCAACCACCCGCAGGAGCAAGCAACAATTCACCATTAGAGCCTCCGTCAATGCAAAAAGTACGAGATGAAATAAAACACCTAAAAAACAATAAATCTCCAGGAAGTGATGGTATACCCGCGGAACTTATTAAATGTGGAGGTGCTACTGTGACTAATCAAATATATAAAATAATACTGAGAGCCTGGAATGAGGAACAAATCCCGGAAGAGTGGTGTATTGGAATCGTTTGCTCGCTACACAAAAGGGTGACCAATTGGAATGTAGAAACTATAGGGGAATAACCCTCCTTAATACAGCATACAAAATATTTTCGAGGATCTTATATGGTCGCCTAAGTACATATTCAGAGGAACTTCTCGGGGAATATCAAAGTGGCTTTAGGCCTGATCGATCAACAACAGATCAGATCTTTGTGCTAAGGGAAATACTGGAAAAAACCAATGAATTCAATATCGATACATACCATCTTTTTGTAGACTTCAAATCTGCCTATGATAGTGTCCTAAGAAATAAATTGTATGATGGCATGAATGAATTCCACATCCACGATAAACTGATAAGATTGGTTAAGGCTACAATGCGTAATGTGGTTTGCAAAGTCGAAATACAGGGCGAACAATCACAGGCGTTTGGAACGCATGTTGGGCTGCGACAGGGAGACGCGCTGGCGTGTCTCCTTTTCAACATAGCACTGGAAAAAGCGATCAGAGATGCCCGAATAGACAACAGAGGCAATATTTTTAATAAATCATCCCAAATTTTGGCATATGCAGATGATGTAGACCTAGTTGCCCGCACAACACCCAAGCTAGAAGAAATGTATACCACCTTCTCAAATGCCTCAAAATCTATGGGCCTGCAAGTTCACATACTTAGGCTCCCTGATCACCAAAGAGAACGCCATAACGGAAGAAATTAAGCGAAGGATAATAATGGCAAACAGATGCTATTTTGGACTGAGTAGACATATGAGAAGTAGAAACTTAAGCAAAAAAAAACAAAAATAACTATATACAAAACCCTTATACAGCCAGTGTTGAGATATGGATCGGAGACATGGACCATCTCCAAGGCAGACGAAGACCTTCTGCTTATATTTGAACGAAGGATCCTGAGAGGAATATTTGGTGGCATCTGTGAAAATGGTGTTTGGAGGAGGAGATACAACTACGAGGTATACCACAGATATAAACAAATATTTGGTGGTAAAGACGTAGTATATCTTGATGGGCAGGACATCTAGCAAGATCACAGCAGAACAACCCTCCTAGAAGAATCCTTATGTCACAACCCGTGGGAAGTAGAAAAAGGGGTAGGCCAAAACTCAGATGGAAGGATGGTGTAGATGAGGATGGTAGAAAGATAGGCGCAGCAAACTGGCAACGGTTGGCAATGGATAGGACTGCCTGGCGTAATAGACTTGGGAAGGTCGAGGCTCTTTCATAGGGCTGTAGCACCATTGATGATGATGATTATATGAAGATAAACCTGTCTCTGTATATGCTCCGTTATTATAAAATTTTCGTTGTTTAGTTCAATATCAGCTGTTCTATCGCCTACATCTAAATGCATAAGAGAGATTATCAAACTCAAGCCACGGTCGCATTATAGAGACTGCATCTTTAGTATATTTGTAATATTTTATTTATATTTTTTGCAAAATTTTACATATTAATTATATTATATGTCATTGTAGGTTCATCAAATTATAAACTACGAAGAAGATGTGTACAAATATCTGCGGCAATCCGCATCGAAAGACTGGCAAAAATGTGTAACAGAAAATCCGAAATTACTGGAGCTCGACGTTATCGAAACCCGTAACTTTGCTAGTGCCTACAAAGATATAGCCTCTAGTTTATCCAACGAAATAGATGCCAAGACTGCTTTTACACTTTACGATACTCACGGATTAGACGAGGAGAACATCACAAAACTAGCAAAAGCTCTTAATCTTAGATTTAATGTAGATAGTTTTAATAAAGAATTAGAACTGGCGAAACTGAATTCTAAAAAGAATAGCGTGATACAGAATTCAGAAATTTATTCTTACTTAACAGAGATGGCGATTCCAAAAACGGATGATATGTACAAATATAATTACTCGAAAAAAGACTGTGGATATGTTTTTCCAGAAATTCAAACAAAAATCTTGAAAATATTTAAAAACGCTCAGAGTATAGATAAAATTAGTGAGGGTGAACATTGTTCCCTACTTTTAAATCAAACAAATCTATACAGCGAAGCCGGAGGTCAAATATCCGATAAAGGAAAGATAATTTTTCATAACGGGTTATTCGAAATCGAATCTTTAGAAAATTTAAACGGATATATTCTTCATAAAGGAAAATTTAAATCAAACAATTCTGGATCTAATGAACATTTAAAGTGTTTATCCACTGGAACAATTGAAATAGATCCAACTTCTAGACTGTCTTGTATGCGTAACCATACCAGTGCGCATCTTTTGAACGCAGCTTTAAAGAAAGCCAAAGTTGCCACTTGTCAGAAGTCGAGTAAAGTCACCGATCAGTTCTTAAACTTCGATGTCGCCATATTTGGAGACAAGTTGTCTAAAGAAGAGCTTGAACAAGTGGAAAAAGACATTTTAGCGGTCATTAAAAGGGGAGATACTGTAAATACAACTAATATTAATAGTCAGGATTTGTTACATTTGCCCAATGTTACTGTTATTCCAGGAGAGATTTATCCTGAAAACGGGATTAGATTGATTGAGATTAGTAGTGGTGGTCTGATATCTAGGTAAGTGTAATGCAATTTAATATTATTACCAATTTAAGGACCATGTTGTTTATGTTGTTCGACCTTAGGATACATACTCACAAAGTCAGAACCTTTTCTTCTTCGCGTGCCATATAAGAATTATCCGACGTTGGCGATCACCATTGCTAAGGCTTCTCGATCTTCTGCAATATGGAATAATTGTCCTGCATTTGGTATCTGAGTCCATTCACGAATGTTTTTTAACCAAGAAACTTGTTTTCTTCCTACACTTCTACGTCCCTCTATTTTGCCTTTAAGGATCAGTTGTAATATTTTATATCGACTTCCCCTTACTATATGTTCCAGATAAGACATTTTTAGATATTTAACAGTCTTTAGCAGTTCTCTATCTATGTTGACGCTCCTTAGTACTTCTTCATTAGTTTTTCTTGCTGTCCAAGGTATCTTCAGCATTCGTCTATGAACCCACATTTCCAATGCTTCAATTTTATTCATGATCGATACTTTTAGCGTCCACACTTCTGCACTATACAAAAATACGGACTAAACATAGCACTTAACCATTATGCACCTTAGTTCTGAACTGAGATGGTTATTGCAAAGAAATGACTTCATTTTCATAAAAGTAGTTCTAGTCATTCTATTTTACGTTTTATTTCTATGTCTGGATCTAGTTGGTCTGTTATCACAGTTCCCAAATATGTCATTTTGTGAACTTTCTCAACTTGGACTCCGTTTAATTGAAGCTTTGCATCGGGATGTGGGTCACGACTAAACACTAAAAATTTGGTTTTGTTTGAGTTATTTTAATGCCCATTTCCTCTCCTACCTCGTGAATACGATCAAGCAGGATTTGAAGACCTTCAATATTATCTGGTAGAATTACTGTATCGTCTGCATATCTAATCACATTAAGTAGTTCCCCGTTGATTTTTATTCCATATGGTTGTTTCTCAGGTGCCTTTTTAAATAGCTGGTCCGAAAAAACATTGAACAATGTTGGTGAAAAAATGCAACCTTGTCTGACTCCTCGTTGTATGGGGATTTCATCGGTGTAGTTATCTCCAATTTTTACGATAGCAGTTTGATTCCAGTACAAATTTTTAATGACAAGAATATCCTTGTCATCTATTCCGATATTTTTCAGTATTTGCATTAATTTTACATGCTGTACTTTATCGAATGCCTTTTCGAAGTCTACGAAACATGCAAATACATCTTTTCTTTGGTCACGGCATTTTTGTAATAGGATGTTAAGCGCAAAAGTGCCTCCCTGGTTTCCATAGCATTTCTATGGAAAACCAAATTGGTATCTTCAAGATCTTCTTCGCATTTGCATCTAATTCTGTTGTGAAGTATTCTGAGGAAAATTTTAAGAGTGTGGCTCATTAGACTAATTAATCGATATTCTGAGCATTTTCTCGCATTGTGTTTTTAGGTATTGCGACAAAGATGGATTTGAGCCAATCTTCGGGATTCACTCCGGTGTTATATATTGAATTAAAAAGTCTTACTACTACTTTTATGTTATCATTCTCTATTAGTTTCAGCAAATCAGTTGGTGTATCATCTGGACCACAAGCTTTTCTAATTTTAGCATTATTTATAGCGTGTTCTACCTCGCATTTCATAATTTCTGGGCCGTCAATACAGTTTTGGTAGAATTCGGCAATATTATTCCTGTCATCTTCAAACAACTCTGATATATACAGCTGCCATCTTTTTTTATTTCGTGCTCATTTACAATAATTTTGTTATTATTGTCAACAAGTACAGAGGTAACTCGTTTTTTAAATATATTACTCATTTCTTTTAGTTTTTTGAGCACATTAAATAAGTCGTGTTTAGATATTACATCCTCCATTTCGTCGCACCTTTCTCTCGTCCATTTTTTTTTGGCTAATTTGATCTCCTTTTTATTCTTCCGTGCAGGTGCCTATATTCTGTTATATTAGATTTCATCAGTCGACGTTGTTCCATTGATTTCAAGATGTCGTCTGTCATTCAGTTATTTTTCTTGATAAGTTTTTTCTATAATCATTGTTTGTGGAGATTTTGTTAACTTGGCTTTTAAATTCACTCCATAGTTTTTCTGGACCTTCTAGTTGCTCTCCGATGTTTTTTATTCTATTGTTAAATTCTTTTTTAATCTTATGTTTTATGTTTATATCGTCAAAGTTAAGTACATTGGTTTTTGGTTTTTGTCGCTGAATTCGTTTTAACCTTAGTTTAATATCTGCTACAAGTGGTTGATGATCAGATCCAATATCTGCCCCAGGATATGTAGTGACTTTTTTGACGACATTTCGGAAACGTACATTTACAAGTATATAGTCTATTTGATTTCTTGAAGACTCAGGTTTATTGCCATCATCAAATGGGGCTTTCCAAGTGTATAGTCGTCGCTTGGGTAGTTTATACCAGGTGTTTGCAATGATCATATCGTTTTCTTTACAAAATTCATACAATCTCTGTCCTCGATCGTTAGGTTGTCCTAAACCATAAGGACCTACAGTCTCACCTCGTCGACCGTCCCCAATTTTTGCATTAAAGACGCCTATAATATATAAAATTTCGTGTTTATTAAGTTTCTGTAATATTAAGTCAGAACCTAATTTTTCAAAATAGAAACATTCTAAAATCAAATTTGATGTATTCTGCGTTTTTTGTCAATATTTTAAAAGATTATCATTTTATTTTTTTTAATATGCTGTTTTTTCTATTGGTGACTTGTCTCAGTTTTAATTGTTTTGATTTTTGCGATTCGATTAATGAGTCTATTCCATCTTCGTCCTTTCTATCATGCTATTATTGAAGCGAAGCTTTTATACTGGCGATGTATTATTTTTTCTCTATAGTAAAATACTGAGGCGAGCGTCACGGAATTAGTGCCACGAAAAGGCGTCACGGGTAGCGTCACGAAAAAGCGGTCTTTACAGCGATTAGCTACTGTCCATCAGTTTGTTTCTGATGAACTGCTATATATCTGAATAAATAACTGATCTGATTCCTACAAATAATAGCGAAAAAACTATCCAAAAATTGTTTATATTAAAATACGTTTTTACACAAAATACATATTTAAAAAAAAATTACAGACAAACATTTAAGTAACATTATGTTATAAAAATCATCACAGAAAACCTAGTCACCAAGTTCCACCTAGTTTCCACGTCTTGGATTGGCCGTTTGGGAACTTTGTTCCTTTATATAGATAAGGTGCCTTTTTGAAATGTTTTACGATTTTTTTAAATTCTAAATTTTTGGTTAAATAATGTCCTGTTAATGCGATATAACTCTCAGTTACTCGAGATGTCCAGAGGTCAGTAGTAATACTGATATTTTCTACTTCTTTAACAACTTGTGCTCTAATAATTTGCTTAGTTTTGATATAACATTCCTGAAGTAATGAACCTGACAAAGATTTTCTTGTTGGCAGTTTGTATCCAGGTATCCACCTTGCAAACTTTTTAAAAGCCCGTTCTTCAACTATGGAAAACGTATGAAATAAGTGTATGCGTTGGTTTAGTAAATCCATATCTAGTTGTTTCTTTTGTTCTAAACTAATCTTTTTATTAATGTAAGTATCCATTACCTTTTGACGCTTGGGTGGCGGTGGCAGTATGTCAGTACTTGTAGAAGTAGTCGGAACGGACAGAAATGCATCAGGAGAAGTTTCTTCAGACTGAGTTTGCGAACCAGATGCTGTTTCAAGTTGGCTTTCTTGAATCAAAGAAAAAAATACTGAAGTATATTTTCTTTTTAAATGGCTTTTCAAATTTGCTGTAGTTGATTTATAACTAACTTTTTCTTTGCAAATATTGCATCCAGCCTTCTCACTGTTAATGTCTTTCTCAAAGTGATGCCATAAAATACTAACATTTTTACGGGCAGACATGTTAAACACACAAATAGTTAATTGAGTAAATATTCAGTACTTACAGAATAAATTCACATTCACGTTAGACAAAACACAAACTCCAAATAAAAATGATGCTTGCTGAATAATACAAAACATGAATCGGGGACTCCCAAATTATAATTTTGTGTTTCGAAAACGAGTTTTTAAAAATTATTTTATTTTTAAAATTTTTTATTTTTTTATTTTTTAAAATTTTTAAAAGCAAAAGCTGTAAAAAATTGAAATGTTCCTCTATTTATAATATAGTATTGCGTAGTTTCTATTATCCTACAATGTGCAGATTCTGTGGAATCCAGTGGCGTAACTCCCATGTGTTAATATTTCAAATTAAAAATAATCGATCATTGCAATATGAATAATTTTCTCTTCTTCCTTGTAGGGAACCATGTTGTGGTACACATGTTCTAAATACAGCAGATATAGAAGATTTCTGCATAACTAATATAAAATCTTTAGGAAGAAGTACTTCATCGTTGACAGCTGTGACGGGTGAAAGGGCACAGTTAGTGAGGCGTAATGGTACTCAATTAGTGGAACAGATAGAGGCGTTTTCAAAACATGTTGATGATAATATGGATAAGGTAAAAATATGTAATTTTATAGCAAGACCTAAGAATTTTTTTGCTTGATTTTATTTATTTTGATTTTTCGTGTTGTAAAATGGTTCCGTCTCGTTATTTTTCTACACCTGTATAATTGATGGGTTTTGTGTGTGAACGTGTAGCAGATTTTAATTTTCCGCAGTTTTTTCTGTCTTTTTCTTTCAGCTCTCAATATTATTTCCCTCTAGCTCTTCTGATCCAAACTGTTTTAAGGCCAGCTTCCTCCGCCAGAAAAAATTAAAAACCCTTTTCAAAAATTCTTAGAAACTACTCTTAAAAATAAGGGGCCGGGTGACGGCAACTGTTTACTTAAATGGGCTTTTCTCGAAACCACGTTTTTTCAACCAAGTGTCACTCCTATTTCGAACCTATTGCCCTTATTAAGATGAACCAAACGGCATTTTAATCTTTAGATGTCTCTATGGTCGGTGCTACAACCAAAAATATTGATTGATATTTAAAAAAGTTATAAACAATTAAAAGTTTAAAAAAGGTTCTAAAAATCCAAAAGGCCGTCATTAAAAAAAAACTCGTTTCTTTGGAGGGACCTGGTTTAGGAGAATATACAGTTTTCCTCAAAAATTATGTATCCTTAATATTTTTCAATAAAAGGAGCAATTTAAGGACAAGAAAAGTTATGTGTACCATTACACCAACAACGTGGCGCCCCCTATAAAATACATCGAGACCCATATCATATTAGGATTTTTCATTCCGTAAAACCTCCAACTCAAAATGTTTACGTTTATACATCCAAAACATTTCCGTTTACCGCTACAAATAATTTTATAAATTTAAAATTTGCCACTCTGTATTTTTCTTATTATGTATAAATATTTTCCCAAAGCATGTTGAGTCGGATCGTAATATTTTGAGGCCAAGAATCTTCCATTTCAGTTTGGTACATTACAAACGGGCCACCCTGTATACAAGCATTAAATTTTTTAATTATTCAATAATTTCTTTCTATATTAATAATGTACATTTGCACGTTTTAGCAACCAATACTCGATAAATTACTTACAAATCTAAGATCACAATTAAATAATTCTGGAGATCTTCCGGTCACCACCAAAGTAAAATGTAGTGATAAACTTGATATGATTAGTAGGAAAATACAGCATGCCGAAACGGAAATACTCAAGTACGTATACTTTAGTTTGTTATATTCAAATGGGTTGAGTTTACCGAAAGTACAAGCTGAATATAGCTGCAAATGTCAAAAATATTTCGGTTTGGCCGTGTGAGTGAGTGTGAGTGGCTCGTAAAAATGATGAACTGTTGCGTCCGCACATTCCATATCCTCAAACTCTGGAGGAAAGCTAGATTGGTGCCTCTCTTAAAAACAGGAAAGGATCTGACGTATACAAAGAGTTTTAGACCTGTCTCTCTTTTCTGTCACCTTTTCAAGGTGTTCAAAAGAATGATACTGAACCAGATCGCTGAATCTGTGGACACTCAAATTATTCCTGAACAAGCAGGGTTTAGCAATGGAACATGCTACTGCAGTCGAACTCTTAACATCACCCAACATATTGAAGATGGGTTTAAACGGAAATAAATAATAGGAGTAGTGTTCACAGACCTGACTGCCGCCTATGACACAGGTAACCATCAATGGTTGCTGATGAAACTACGCAACTACAAAGGATTTCCGACTAACAACGTTAATTAATGTGTCTTCTCCAGAATAGACGCTTCTACGTAACGCTCCAGTTCAAGAACAGTCGGTGGAGGGATCAAAAAAATGGACTCCCACATGGAAGTGTCCTCGCGCCATTGCTATACAATATTTACACCAACAACCAATCAAAAAACCAACAAACAAGACAGTTTATTTACGCGGATGATACAGCTGTGGCAGGTCAGGGAAGTACCTTCAATGAAGTCGAAATAAAACCGACAGATGCCCTAGAAGACTTAGTACTATACTATGGAAAACCATCTGAAACCCAATCCTACAAAAACCCAGGTGTGTGCTTTCCACCTTAGAAACAAGCATGCCCGAAGGACACTGGAAGTGGAATGGCGAGGTCAGATGCTGCAACACAATGAGACGCCAAAATACCCCTTTGTCTTATCGATATAGCTGTCAGGATATCAAGAAAAAAGTAAGCGCCAGAAATAATATCATCCGCAAACTAAAAAACACAAAATGGTGAGCACAACCACACACTCTCCATACTTCTGCCTTAGCATTGTTTTCTGCCATCGAGTTTGGAGCACGAGTGTGGGAAAACTCTGCTCACGCTAAAAACGTCGGTGATGCGTTAAATGAAACGGTTCGTATAATATCTGGTTGCCTGAAACCGACACCTATCGAAGAGGTCTACCCTATAGTTGGAATCACACACCCTTACAACTGTTATCAGAAGACAGGTCACGTCAGAGATAGAACGAAAGAAGCAGGAGACGGATCGAAGATACCTCTTGTATGACCACCAAGTTCAGACAAGTAGATTAAGATCTCGGAAAAGCTTTCTGAAAACAACACGATCCCTTCCCGAAGAGCCAAAGACGCGCCGAATACACCTTTGGCAAGCGTCAGTTACAACACTTTTTGCTCCCTCAGAGGAAATGGCCGCTGGACACAATTTGCCGTACACACATAGAAAGCCCTAAACAGACTAAGAAATGGCGTTTCACGTTCTGCTAGTAAACTGAAGAAATGGGGATACCAGGAGGACGATACCTGCCACTGTGGCGCGGTTCAGAAAAATCACCATCTACTATCATGCACAGCGATGAGAGAGACCTGCACAGAACAAGACCTATTTTTAGCGAATGTGAGGGCCATCTATGTGGCCAACCATTGGAAACAAGAAAATTTAAAGCTGTTGGTGTTCTGGGCACGGAAAGCAAGTAAGGATCGGAACAGCAGACACTTCGGCAAAATTAGACAGGCTTGGGTGAGGTTATGTTGTGTCGATGATCAGCTCCGAATGTCAACGTTGCTCTGATTAATTGAATTATATGTACCCGTTTTATAAATAAATAAATAGTTATGTTTTGTTAGTCTATACTTCATTAAATACACAACAGAATGTTATATATATTTTTCTTATTATCTTATCTTTATATTATTGGTTATTTTTAGGGACTTTATAGAGATGGAGATGCAGAGTGCTCTAGATACGAATATCCGGATAACAAAGAATGACAACAAATATTTAGTTCATTATTTAAGATGTTCGGTTATGCTCGAAAAAGTACAGTTACTTAAAGCAACACGATTATGTCCAGATTATCCAATCTTAGTCATAGCCTACGCCGATAATACTGTCAAAGCAAGATGCTGTGTTCCCAAGGTAATAATAGATAACATTTGATTAAATCTTTAATAATTAACTATTTAAATGATTAATTGTTTACATATTTAAGTCCAATTATACTTTTTTCAATTTTTTATCAAATTATCTCCTTATGACTTATGTGTCTTATTGACACATAAGTTATGACTTATGTGTCTTATTGAAACATAAGTCTCACCACGATCACTTGTCACCGATAGCTATTAGACTTTACAATATTTTAACCATAGACATACAATAGAAGATAGACCGATGCTTGCAATACCAGCCCGTTCATCCTGTATTTTATCATTTTGTCTAATTCTTCACTGTCTAGGTTGTGTATTTAGGTTTAAAAATAATACTTCTTTCTTTTTATTTTAGAACTTCAAGACTGATGACTTTAACGCCGAAAAATGGATGAATGAAACCGTAGCTTTAGTATTCAAAAGTCGTGCAGCTCCTCCTAAAGGCCAAGACGGGACTTTGGTGTGCAATATGAAAGCAAAAAAGGTGCCAGTGCAAGAGTGGGACCCCCTTCTCAGAGCCAGCATAAAACAAGCTCAAGAATTTATAGAAAGACATTTATGAAAATAGTGAATGAAACTTTTAAAGTTTTATTCTCTCTCTTGAATTGTATATTAAGACTATTTTTTCTAAACGGTGCAAACAATTTTTTAAAACATGTTGAAATTGTATCAATATTCTAACAGCATGCTACCACATAAATATAGAAAATTAAATCTACATGGTATATTTTATCTTTGTGTGGTATTCATGTTATATTGTAAAAATGTATTCCTTGTTATGTTTTGGAAATAAAGTGTTTTAAAATTTTTATGACCAGTTTTTTCGGTATGAAACCAGTTGGTATGAATCGAACACTGTTCTGTACTTCATACCAAATATTTTGGCGTTCCATAAGTAATTGAGTTGAATCCGCATCTGCAAGATGGAGGTTGCTTCAGCAACCTCATTATTCATCAGTAAGGTCAGGAACATTATTCATCAGTAAGGTCAGTAAAATGACAATTTCAGTTGTAGTGATATATTTATTGTAAAAAATATTTTTAGACACGAAAACATTATGAATACAACTAAATTTCATTCTATCTAAATCAAGGGCAGTTTTTTTAATCAAGTTTTTATACATATTTAACGCCAAAATAAGTTACATAATTCTTTTATCGCACTGGTATTGAATTCAAATATTTGTTTCCGTAGTTTGCACGTAATAGAATCTTATAATTTAGTGATACAGTTAGGATTTTAGGAAACAAATTCCTTCAAAACTTCAATTACAAAAGAGAGTGCATATTCTAGTTCTAATGTGACGTCAATGCTCGTGAAGTTTTATTACATCTCTATTTTAAAATCTGGAGATTAAAATATTTCACCTCCGGCAACATTAACTCTATCATTTTTTAGTTTACCATGATCAGATAATGAAATATTTTTTTATTATGATGAAACTATGAGAATAGAATAGAATAATGACTAATACAGAAGACAGATCAGTAATTACCATAGGTGGAACAAACATAGAACACGTCCAAAAATATATTTACTTAGGACAAGCTATCAGAGCAGACAAAAGTAACCAGACTAAAGAAATAACCAGAAGAATAAGAATGGGGTGGGCTGCATTCGGAAAACTCTCATATACTATCAAAAACCAAAAAATACCTTTAAAATTAAGAACGAAGGTATTTAATGCATGTTAAATACATGCACCTGTATATGGTGCCCAGACGTGGACATGTACCAAGAGCAACTTAGATATAATAAAGAAAACTCAAAGAGCTATGGAAAGACAAATGTTGGGAGTATCGTTGAGAGATAAAAAGAGGAACGAGTGGATAAGATGCAAAACCGAAACAACAGACGCTGTCGAACATGCATTGAAATTAAAATGGAAATGGGCTGAGCATAACGAAAAGATATCAGGATGGAAGATGGAATAAAGAAATTGGCCGCTGGAGACCACATACTGCAAAAAGGTCAAGAGGTTGACCGCAAATGAGATGGAAAGATGACATTGAGCAAAGCGCAGGTCCAATGTGGTAAAGACAAACAGAAGACAGAGACAAATGGGAGAGGCCTATATTCAACACATGAATAGATTTTGGGCTATAGATAGATGAGAATAGCAAACCTGAGAAAATAGTATAAGTGAAAAAGAATCCAAATCTGATATTGCACGGCGATAAAGAAGCTAAAATGAGAAGGGTGGAGGAAAAGACGGATTAACAGCTGAAATACTTAAAGTAAGTACTTGGAGAAGTAGGGATTGAAACATAAACACTCACGACACAAGTTGGTCTTACTCGCAAATCGCTCCGATAGATGTCTCCTATCAAAAATATCCAGTATATTCCCAAACAAGCTGCAAATGTTTTCAATTCAAAATATATTCATACCTATCTGTACACAACGCTTCAAGAAGACCTAAGAATCCCATTCATACAGGATGTGATCACTAAATAGCATGAAGCATTGTGAAGGACTATAATCACACAGTAACCCCTTACTTCGACCTGTAATAGAACATAATGCAAATAGGAGACTCAAAAGGAACTGACCAGCTGACCTGAGAAACGGTTAAAGTGGTCTTGTCACTGAAGAAGACGTCGTCAAGCCAATAGCCTGTGCTCTGAAGAAAGCAAATTAGCCATTTTCAACAACCTATAATTCCTATAGAAAGCATTTGGAGAGAGGTAATTTGCTTTATTTTTGATAAACATTTTAAATTCAATGCCAGTGCATGACTACGAAAATATCTAGTTACAATTTTTGCAGTACCAAGGCTTCTCAAGTCAAGAGATAAGTTTGGTTTTAATTCAAAGCCACGTTTAATACTTAAAATTAAAATATTAAATTTTTAAAAGCGTTTTATATGTTTTTTTCATATTTTTGAAATCTAAAAGTACAAAAGCAATAAATATCAACTAAATTAGTTATATTATCTAATAGAGATCTATAAATCGTTAATATAAACACTTTGAATATTCTTTAGTTTGGATTGATTTCATACGAATACACAGATTTTATATTTTAGAAAAAAATTTAACACAAATATTGGATCTGTATAATCAAAAACTTTTCCATTTGCGCTTTATGTCTACATAACAACTTTTTCTGCAAAAAAAAATATCCAAAGGAGTATTATTTCACGTTGTTGTGTTTTTTACCATCATGCATGACCATCATTCTGCATTATACCTGCTATTTGCTAAGGATACAAAATTATCTTCATTACTGAAGGATGGCAACACTTTTGATAAAGATGTTCGTAGCCCAAACTGCTCTTACCAGATCATATGCAGTCATTCTCGTCTAATATGGGGACATACGAGGAAAAATAGAAAAACTCCAAATGGAGAGTAAAATACCACATGAGCTACTTACATACGGTGAAGAAGTAATCATAGAGGAATATAAACATCGATTCATTATAATTCAATAATAAAAAAACATTACAAAAACGAAAAATAAGGTTAAGAGTCCGTATTTAAAAAAAAAGAGGACATAAGGAATCCCGTCAACTAACGTGGGATCATTAAAACTTTTTCCAAATATTGCTATTATAAGAAAATAACAACACTACTACCAATCAAGATGAAATGTGAAACATACGTCTCGAATCAAAATCGAGAGATTTCTACATTACATACATTGATCCTCGCATTACTCCCTTCACTCGTGACGTACCAGTACCGTGTTCTGTAGAAATACAAGAACCGTCAAACGTCACTGAGGTCTCAATCTGCCTACTCCTCGACACTGAGGATGTAGGGCGTATGAGGATGTTAGGAAAATTTGTGCAATAGATAGGGGTGACTGGAAAAGAAGACTTGGAAACGCAGTGGCGTTACTTTAAATGTACTTAAATAGCATTAAAACCCAACATTTCATGGAAAACTGCATCTAAACATTGACCTTAATCAAGGCTTTGTATTATCCAACAAATAAAGTATAAAGATCGTTTTAATTATTTCATTGGTGTGTTTTTAATATCGTTATGATTGCGTTACTATTCAAATTATTTTATACTATCAGCAGAGAACTACGAACACAGAGAAGCGACACGAGGCCCGGAATTCGTGTATCTTTTCTGTATACGCATGACCCAAATAAGGTGCTTTACTGTCAAAAACACGTGCGTTTTCTTCAACTTTAAGTAGCTTACGATAGTCCGTAGGCACCTGTGGTAAACTCTCGACTATACAAGTGCATTTGACCATTTATCTAATTATTTAGTAGTTAAAAGTTTATAGTTATAGTTTATAGTTATAGTTAAAATATATAAGTTTATAGTTTATAGTTAAAAGTTTAATTTATAAGTATTTAAAATGTCTTCTGGTTATTGTTGTGCGTTTCGCGGATGTTCATCTGTGACAGGAAAAGGAATAAGTTTATTTAGATTTCCTAAGAATAATAACAGGTAATTACTATTGCTTTGTAATTATTATTAGTTATTACATAATAGTATTAATTTGACTTTGAGTAAGCCGACACCGACGTGTCCGCCCGAGCTTTCGTTAAGTGAAGCAATAAAAAAATAAATTTTGGTTTGACAAGGGATAGTTCAGAATAAAAACCAGAGAACTACGAACACACATTAAATTTATTGTCTCCGAAGGCTCAGGTCAAAAAATCAACACAGATGTTGGCCTACTGGTGTGAAAGCGCTAGCAGACAACAATACGAATATAGTATTTTTAGGAAATAAAAATATATAGAGGGTTTTATACACGAGAATATTTGATTTAAACGAAACAAAGAAATTCTCAAACTAAAAATTGTTGGAAACATAATTAGATCGAAAATTGGGAAAATCTTAAAATTACAACAGAACAAGACTTCAAAATAAAAACATGATTGCAAATAAACAAACTTACATTAACATAACTTCAAATATTTGCTGTCTTTTTCACCAAACAAACTTACATTAAATTATGAAAAAACTAAATGCTCATCTACTTTTTGCTATATACAAAAGTTGTCTGTCAATGTTTAATTCGTTAAATATAAATAACAAAGATCAAATATATGGATCGGAGTACATAACATATTTAGGGAATAAATATTTAAATGGGAATTACAAATAAAAAATATTAAAACTTTATTTATTGTATATCTCAATATTTAGTGACAATTTTGAGACTTAATTAGGAGAAAACTGTAAATTTATTAAGATGAGATATTGACAAAAGTTAAATCGTTAATCGTTTACTCCAATATTCGACTTTAAAGGAACAATGTAATTTTAATTGGTTTCCAAGACATTAACAATCGATATCAATATAAAGTTTCTTGTTTCTCAGTCTCACCCAAAGAGAATTGGAATTTTTAGAGTTTGTGAAATTTCCGTGGCAGTTACAATGGATTTGTTATTTTTCGATTATATTACGAAAGATAATTTATTAGGAAATTCCACGACGAACAAATTATATCTTGTATCAACACAAGCCAAAAAGAATCGGTGTATTATTGTATTATCAATGTCAACATCAGAATAAACAAAAAAGTATTTTCATCTATGGTTCCATCAATACGATTTTCACCATTACTTTGCGTTATGCGATGTATTTGCAACCTTTTGTAAATCAAAAATAATTACACCATTTAGAATGTCAACAAAAGCCGGCCCTGCATGTAATTATTTTTTCAGTGCAATATTTCATATTTATTGAAAGTCAACATAAATGCTCAATTTTATTTAAGAATTTATATTGTGTAA